TCGACGAAAACTCTATATACATATATGACCACAAAAACGGGGATAGAAACAACAATAAAATAAATCAACCCCCTTCAACTGAAACTTTATGTGGAATACGAAAAAACTGTTTTCAAAAAATATTTTGAAAACAGAAATTGCTACCTTAAGCATAGTCATCTGTAGTGTTTGCGCCAGAAATACTTGGGCTTGGTCATTACTATTTACTGAATTACTCTAAAAAGGAAACGAACAAGCTTTTAATTTATAAATGATACATTGCGAATGATAATGAAGAACGAATTCCAATGTATGGTCAACTCGACTTAACTAGTTTTCAACCGTTTTGTATCGTATTCATTTCGGCGCCCTGAAGCTTTGAGGCCCCCATCTTGTTTACGCAAATTCTTGGCGGGAAAAATAACTAATTATGTACACGGGCACATTCCAACAGGTGTTTTGAACCACGAGGAGATAAAGAGAGAAAATTGTTTGGTCAATGCAGAATTTCTTTCGACAAATATAACCTCAAAACGCTGACCAACTGACTGAAAAGACATGCACATAAATTTAACACTCTACAAGCGCACCACACATTGAAAATGTTGTTGAAAACGCGGCAACTTGGACTTTTCTAAGGCTATGTAAAATTAGGAACGGTCGCAACCTAATACAGAAATAGTTCATTTCTTATGGAATATGTTGACATGTTCGTACTAGTTTGTAAGGAATAATGTCAGCCAAACAATGTACTGGTTTACCTGAAACAATGAGCGAAGTCGTCTCCATTAGTCCATACTTACCACGCTACTCTTCCCAACTGTCTCGCCATTTTTGTCTTCTCCAAAATTCGCTAGGTCAGGAAATCCGCATTTTCTCCTCAAAACATCACCAGAACGGCACAAATTCCACAGCGAAAACGCCCAAACATTCTGCTGCACACTTACTAAGACATTCCACCGACGAAAACGTCTAAAAGTACCCAGAAAGTTGTGATAAAATAAGCCCAGAGTATTCCCGTCGTACGAAAGCGCCATTTTGAACGCTCAGACCATACCAAACTTGTTTCTACACAGGCGTGCAGAACGGCTGTGCATAATTAATGTGAAGTTGATAATCTAATTATGACGACCAATGACGACCCGTTTCGGTGCCAGGCACTTATATGTGTCGAAGAAGGACGACTAGATTATCTAATTACGAAGGATACTAACGTTGATGTCAATCTCGGTAAAAACAAGAGTTCCGAGATCTCATACCTCCATGAAATATGGGCTTGCTTTGTCCTCATTAATTATGCAAATAACCTCCACATTAACATAATATATGCATAGCGATGCAAACCTTTAAGTAACTTACACATGTTACGAGGTATAAAATTCCCATCAATTCCCACAGAATTTTCACATTAATTATGCAAATTAGGTCATCATTTGCATAATTGGTACATGTATGTGTTGATGTTCCGCCTGCCACAGATTGAATAGATTACATGTATAGCAGTACCATTATATGAAACACTGTACTTATAGAATTTCCTCATTAATTATGCAAATTAAGTTCTCATTTGCATAATTTGCATTTAATCATGTACAACTGTCTCTTAAGTACCTACACACCAAAAATGATGAAAATACGTTGTTCCAATCTGAACTTATTGGCTTTGAAAGTTTTTACCAGAAACTAACCTGCAGTTCCAGAACAAGCTGCTAGGGGGACCAAACTTACGCCACGTATTCCTGACAGGATAAGCTATCTGTCACCAAAAAGTCACCAAAGCTTGTTCAGGACAAAAGATACAAAAACCGGAAGTTCTGCTGCAGTACCAAGGTCATCCACCAGGAGGCCCATACTTGACCTTGACCTTTGTCTTTCCAAGACTTACCATCATACCAAATATCATCACAATCCATAAAGGCGTTCTGAAGTTATGTTGACCACAAAGTTGCGGAAACACACACACACACACATACACACACACACACACACACACACACAGACATACAGACAGACACGCCAAAAACAATACCTCTATTTATCATGGAGGTAAAAATGGATGAAAATGCAGCTACAGGGCACTTTTAAATTCGTATTTTCTATCTTCACAAATAAACGTTTTCAAGAATAAGCTGTTATGTGGCCACAGTATGAAACATAACACTCTTGCCCAATTTTCCTATTAACTGTAAATTTATTTACTTTCGCGGGGACTTTATTCCCGTGGTAGAATAAGGCCACACCAATTTAATTTGCTGGTTCTAGGATTTTTTTAGAAAACATATGAAGCGACAGGGCAAGATAAAAACAGGTCTAGGCATCCTATTATAGCCCAAAATGCTATAATAGGAGCCATGAAGTCAACACAAAAGGCTGGGCTAATATTTAAACAATGACTTTTGAATGCTAATCTTCGCATATGGTCTGCTCTGTTAATTGTCACTCAAACACATTCACATAGTGATTACATGTACTACTAGGACATGTAAAGATATAGAAATAATTGATTTTCAACAAATCAGAGACTTCCATGAAGTGTTTTGAGATGTGTAATTTTATCCCATTAACTGTTAATGCAACCGTTGCGACTCCGATATGAAATGTGAAACACGGTGAAATTCTCAAGTAAAAAAAATAATCTTTACCCAGGAGTAAAAAAAAAACATGTTTGCTACATGTATGTTGTTGTCATTGTTTACAGTAACTTCTACTATTTCGCTAGATGACTGGTCTATACTAATAATAATGGGATCCTTTACATGTTGGTGCTGGGTTACACTTGGTGTATAAAGTGTTGCAGTACCAACAGTAGTTGATAGATGTCACTGTGATACCATGTTCAATATTCTTGATTGTTTGAGGAAGTTTGTGGTGTTCTTACATTGTTGTAAAGTTTGGATGTCTCCGCAACCATTATGATAGACCAATCTTTTGAACTTCTAGGTCCTGAACGAACATTTACAGGATACCAAGACATAAAAACACACAAAAATTCTGCAAAAAAAGTCTGCCTTTTTAATAGATGCTTGTGTACAAAAGCACATCAGGAACAGAAAATTGCAGCCGGGCACATTTTTTTTTATGTTGAAACAGCAGCTAATAGCTTACATTCTCCAACATACAGCCTTTTCAACTTCAAAGTAGATTGAAACACAGTTCAATGATGTACATATAGTATTACTAAGTCTTGCCACTAGGTATATTGTGTATGTACATGAGGCACTGGGTACAGATCAAAAAAGCATAGTACAAGAGCTCTGTCTGCTAATTATTCTTTGTAACACAATCTTTTTTTTTAGTATTTAATATAATACACACTTTCCAGTCTTCAAGCAGCCAACATACCAAACTGGAGGCTTTTTTTCAATATCCTATCCACATGCCATACTTTACACAGAGATAATGGTGAAATGTCTGTTATGTATACATGAGATTTGCATTTGCATCATTTGGTCAAAAGTTGAAATTTAGACTTTTATTACATTATTCTTACATTTTTTTTACTACCTCTTATTGATAACTCTATTCTGGGACATCCAAACATCTACAGACTATGAGGTTTCTAGTGTGACATTGAGTAGAGTAGAAAAGTTATTTTGCCTTCCATTTTCATGAGTTTCCATTTTTATGAAAGACTACATCTCAACTTTCTTTCTATCATACCACATACCACACAACCCACATATACTGAAGCGAAAGATACTAGATTAAAACTTTGCAAACATAGTTGAAAGGCATTCTGACTGTATCAGAGGAATACACTTAAGCGACAAGCAGTCTCGCAGAATGAACTCTCTGGTAGCAAAAAATTGAGGAGTTCAAGCACTTTCCTGATAGCACTCGTAATCTGTTTATCATGACTCTACTGTGAGTACACTATATCCAAAGAGTTGATTTGTGTTCTGAACAGTTTGGCTTTCCTTTGTGACAATCATGTTTGAGTTTCTTTGCGGGGGCGTCAGTGATTTTTATACACATTCATTAGGGAAACTGAGAAGTGATGATATTGTGCTTTTATCTGTCTAATGCTTGGGTGCTGTGTAGCTTTTGTCAAGAAAGTGCTTGAAGCCAAGTAGAATCACAACTGTCTATATAACAATGACACAAATGGTACAATTGAACATTTTATGCATTCAGTGGTTGGTATATTACAGCACACGTTCCAACATCCATAAATTGTGAGAATCGTATTCACATTTGATTCTTTGCCAGATAACTTGTGACGTGACAATGTTATCAGAAGTACATGTATAATGTAGAGATGCAAAGGGAATTGCTTCAAAATGGATAATGTTTTTATGCCATCAGCCGTAACTGCAATGTTATGCTTATCATCACAACTACGAACAACAGCTATGGACTATATTGTTTTTATACCATATGTTTCTTCTGTTCCTGCAATTAGCCCTCGGGCATGAATTTGCAATAAAACAATTATAACTATGACCTTTCAGCCATGGTCTGAGAGTCACAATTCAAATAAACATCTTCTTGACACAGTTTTTAAGGGGGGAAATATAAACAACTTACAGTTAGTGCTTAAGTCTCTGAAAAACAATATATTCTTAGACTAACAATTTCTTCATAATCATAGTGATTTAAATCAGGACCTGAAAACTTTTGGACGATAAAGTTGAAATAGACCTAGCAATGTACAATTGTTTAGCCTGACTTTGTGACACAAAAAAGTTAAGAATGATCTGATAGTATTTTCAGGAAATGTAACTTACTGACAGAGTCGTTGGTGACAAGACCAGAACACTAGGGATCTGGTGTAATGCCTGTGATGGTGATTGTATCAACTATGCTTCAAAAGGAAAGGTTTACAGTTATATATATTAGCACCTGTTAGAACACACCTGAAGATCGGGTAGGGACCAGTCTACATATAAGAGAGCCGGCATGCCCTTTTACGTAAGGCGTAATCAGGCCTTTTTAGACTTCGTAATTCGTAGGCAGCCTCTGCAAAAATCAACGTAATTCGTAATAGGACATTAGCCACAAATTGTAAAGTCGTAATCAGCTCTGAGACTTTAATATAATTCGTAATCGGCGGCGAAAATTTTGCGTAATTCGTAATCACTACTCCCCCATGCAGGCCCTCATATAACCAGTACAGCACTGACTTACAGTGTCTGAGTTTTTTAATATGTAGAAAATTATGCAATCTTCTTGTGCATAGTCATAAAAAATGCCATTTACTGCAGATAACAGTCATATTTTTCTCCTTCTTTTATTGAGATAGCCACCTTTACCAATCAGAATTACATTGTAAGCAACATAACTACATTAAAACCTGTCCTTATTGAGAGAATGGAAACTTTCAGCCAGATTTCTTTCCTGCATTTTGTAGGGAAACATTATTTATCATATACATTTTGTAGTGTAATGTGTCACTTGCCATCTTGCCTTTCCGTTCTTTGAGTACACCCTAAGCACAAAGTTTGCTATATATGGAAAAAATATACATTTTGCTATTTGTCGAGATTCGAAACATACACTAATATTATGTACTCTCTACACACATTTTCTGAGTATACACACCAACGTTAGAATTCAGTACCAGAGTACAGATGGAGATAGACACTCCAAAAAAGATGACTATACACAGCAATTTCATTGTCTAAAGCACCTGTCACACATTCTCAAATATGGCCTCCCAAACGCTAGCCATGCTTGGCATTCAAATTTGCCTTAAATTTAGCTCTAATTCGATTTGATTCATATATTAGAAAGGTAGGCATGGTCATACTACTCCTGAAGTTCAGCCAATCTTAGTCGGCTGGTGTTTGGTGGAAGGTTCTGAATGTGTCACAAGGGCCTAATTCTCAAACAATCTCACACCAATTAGAATTTAATACATAAAATTGTGTATGAAAAATCAAAAGACATCAACAGATAATACCAAACTAGCTGATAATGTAAGGAATCTGAAGCCTGTCTCTATAAAAGAAAAAAATTGGCATATTTAATATCCATAACAAAAGTTCATATTAATTTTTGACTTTTGATATTAGGTAATATTGCATTAACATTGAAGATTTAAGAATCTAATCGCTAAAAAGGAAATTTTTGAAATACAATTTTCCTTATTGACTTTGCATGTACCTTCCATAAGTAGAAACAATGTATATTAGATCTAGGAGTAATTTTGTCTCATTCTATGGGTAGGTCACACTCAGGGATGGGGGGGGGGGGGTTGTTCTGTACACGAGGATCATGGGATTGCATTTCAAATGTAGACAGTTGGTGTTGGGATGACATCAGTCAGCTACCTTCACGATGTAGGTTTCACCAGCCAACTGTTCGCTGAAATCAGCAAGATGGAAGTGTAAAATATATTATACATATAATATTATTATACCATTGTCATACAGCTACATATGCATGTATATAATTTCATTGTAGCTTTAAACTGTTAAGCAGTTAAACGTTATCAATAAGAAATTTTAACAAATATGTCTTCAATATATCATACTGTAGGTAGAACAGTAATATACTATGACAATGAATCCAGATGAAAATAGCACGTCGGCAGAACGTACTGTGCCTACGCAAAACCCCGTATTTTCGCGTTTTTCGTTGGATTTTTGGTCAACGTTGCATCAGAATTTTGCCTGTTGCAGAGGATATTCTTTTAGACACAACATTTGGAAACTACTGTCAAAATGCTAACCTTATATGAGCGAATACAACCTTATATGAGACATTCTGCCGAAATGCTATGTACGGTTTCGCGCTGGTGCAGTACGTTCTGCCGACGTGCTGATGAAAATTATGTCAGACTGATTGAAAGTGTAACCTCAGACATTTGCTTTCGGTTGCCCAAAAAGTATTTTCAACCCTGTAAGGTGATTTATTTACTCACTTTGGTATGCCTTTTTGCTCTTCATCGTTGGACAGGGTTTTCCCTGAAATGAAAAGATGAAGACTGTGTTACATCATGTTCAGATAGAGGAAGTAGACTCAGGACAAAAATGCTCCAGACCTGCAGTTCCAAACCAAGTTGCTATAGTGTTGGAAATTACAGTTTAAACTTGCTTCATAGAAAAAAATGTGCACATACATAACATCCATGTCCATAATATCACCAGGGTCCATAATATCGCGACCTTGAGTAGTGTGCTTTAAGAAACTGCAACATACTTTTGGTATGCACTCCAGCACACCTCAAATGTACATACCTAGGGTATGTTGCCGTAAAAATATCTTTAAGCACACTTTTTCTCAAGGTGGTCATATTATGGATTATGGTCATGGACACAGATGTTACATATTACATACATGCAACCACACAACATGAATGGGCCTGACTTACCATTTTGTCCTTGGTGGTGAAGTTGATGTTGGTTCGGATAGTCCTGGAGTTCAGGTTACTGGTGGGCCTGAAGTTGTCTGCCAGGGGAGTCTCTTTCTGCCCCATTGTGTTCTGCCATAAATTACGCAGTTGGGTCATCTGTGGACAAAAAAGCTAAAGTGTTAACTGTGAAGACTGGCAATGCAGACATACATTGCCATGGCGACGGTGGTTGCTGTTAGGGTTCATTGTTTGCATGGCACTGCCATGACTTCATGATTTTGAGGAAGCCTTGGTACCTGTTAAGTCTAGACAGATACAGTGCACTCGTCCCGAGTGTATAGTGAACGAGCCACGGGGTCACAGAAATTCCATGCCTGTGAACAAAATCCTGTACAATTCCTAGAATTCTTGCAAACTGCAAAACAATACTGTACCATTAGGCTCCTCCCTGAGACATCGCCAAAAACCTAGCTCATCTGACAATCATCCTCATTGCTACGGCTCACATCTGACTACAGTGCAGGTATGCAGAAACAAAAGGATTTCATGCCTTGAGAACCAAATAGTTGGTAGAGTATAGGATATCATCAGGGATTTTCGTTTACACAACCAAACTTGCCTTACGAAGTCGACCCCAGTGGTGAAGTCTGGGGTTGATGAGGGGGGTACAAACTCAGTCAGTGTTTGAGATTGTGTTCTTGCTGCAAAAGCGCCACCTATATCGGCTACACAGAGCAGTGAGAAGCAGAACTTCAGTTAGAAGATCTGAGGAGGATGTCTGATCAAGACTCCAAAATGTAAGCAAGGTAAGGCAAGTTTGGTTGTGTCGAAGAAAACCTGTAGGCATTGCAAAGTTTTGTTTGACTCCTCTGCTTCTACATGTAAGTGTTAACCCCTTCATCTGTTGTCTGCCACAGTTCTATCAAAGAAGCCATGATCGATTTTGCAAGGAGAGGTCACATCGATTACAGGGCTTTCATGTGATTGTTGAGCTAATCCAGCTTCAAACCCAAGTGGCCTGCAAGCCAAAGATGAAGGGTTGTTAACCGGTACTGTGTGGGTTCTCCTGTATCATAAGGGACCATGAATACCCACACCTGAATTTCCAATATTAGCACATCAGCAAAAATTATTTCCTGCTCAGTCAATTTGCTTCGAAATCCCAAATATCAGAGTGTGGTTGAGTGGCTCTCTTCTTTCTCGTAAGAATCATAAAGCTCGCAGGTTAAAGCAATGTGAGATCAATAATTATTGAAACAAGAAATCAGAGATTATAGGAAGTGTTTTGGTTTTTGTGAATGCATTGGAACTGTATTGTATGATCGAGGGGAAATACCCGATTAAATTACATCTCATACATTGTAGAATGGAGTATTACCTAATATACGTTGTATGACGTTACTTACTAGGGTATGCCAAGTCACAACCCTGTCCATCAACTGAAACCCAATCCCCACCCACCCACTTTCAATCTTCACTGCTCAAAATGAGACATACATACAAACTAATCCTAAACCAGTGTTGCCCAAACAAGACTTCCATCCCGCACTTAAATTTTTGCTGATAAAACTCATCTAGTGCATGGTAGTACCTTATCATTAATGCTATGATCCCCATTCTTTTCTTTGCCAGAAACAGCAATAGGTTACCACTTGGCTTAAGAATGTGATGATTGTCCTTTGGATCGTCTGGGAACCTTTCCAGAGATGTGACTCAAGTCAAGCCAAAAATCAATAAGGGCGGGCCAAAAATAAAGAAGGTGCACGTCTCTGAGGCGAGTGGATCAAACCTTCTGCCAACATCGCTGCACCTGGGCAATTATACTTCCTCGCACTGACCTGATATAACACAAACTGGCAGCAACTCTAAGGTTATATTTAGATCATATCCACACATTATCATCCAAGTAATGGCAACTTCTTTTATTGTTCTGTATTTTTATTATATTGCTTCATTTACTTATCACTCATAACCCTCATATTTTATTCTTATTCAATTGAAAATAACACAGTCATACTTTTTTGTACTTTTGGATTATGCTCATAGAATAAAAACTTCATTCTTCATTTTCTAAAACGGGATGTTTTCTTGTATACAAAGTACTAGCTAGTTCCCAATTACATTTTTTAAATTTCAAATCATGAAATTATACTGCTTACATTGGAGCTAAATCTCTTAACATTTAAAATATGATATAGAATGATTTCGTAATTAAGAAATTTTGTTTTTCAATCGTTACTTTCCTCTGAGGAGATGAACAAAAACTGTTTACTACATTGTACCCTGTATAGTAATTTACATGTAGTTTTCCCATATGAGGTACAAGCTTTGAAAGTCTGCTAACATTCACCTTGAAATGCCCTTGAGACAGTAATTGGAACCTCCCCCCCCCACACACACACATACACCAGATAAGTTTGATATTTGTTTCTCATAGAAAATCATGATCAGTCTTTACAAGTCATGGGGGAACCATAAGGAAATTCCATGAAGTCAAATCGGAAAGGTATCATTGGAAAACCTGTTAAACTGAAGCTCAACTTTTACTGTGCCTCCGATAACAGAAAATGATAGAGGAGCTTAGGAAGGTTATGGGAGTCACAGTATTTCCAATAAAATAATGTACCTGACTTCTTGTTTTCTTTCATTTACCTAACAATCAAGAAAAGTTTATAACTTTGTATGAAAGAATTTGCTATTTTTTGATCTTTATTTTGTCTCATTGGAGAGGACATACCTAACTGAAGCTATAGCTACATGTACATGTAGAAATGTACTAGGTAGTAGTCTCACTTTAACCTGAGTTGGATATAGGTGTGAAGTCACATGCAGCCTTTCCCAAGGGCACAACAGTGGGGTCTGCCAGGGATTCGAACCCAGAACCTTCAGATTCTGAGTCAACAACCCTAGCCACAAGACCACCTTGCCACTTTCATATACATGACGTACATTTATACCCAAGATACAAAAGTAAGTCATTACATGATCGTTAGAAAATTTCTAAAAGCATTGCACTTCTCTCAGTCTTGAAAATTCAATACAGCTCCAATGTTGGAATGTTCTGCCAAAGAGAGTGATGTATACATGTAGTAGGATGCTGCCGGTATGCTCTGATGAGCTGACAAACAAAAAACTACATCATGATCGATACTTCCCCGCCCCTTAGGAATGTTCCTACAAGCCTTGACATAGGAAATATTCCGATCGGATTCCCGGGCTACCAATTTGGAGATTCCTGCATTGTTCACGGATGCAGCGCCCATCCCTTATTGGAAAAAAGAACACAAGGCCACGGGAGTGCCTACACAGTGATTTTCTGAAAACGAGTATTGTTATTGGTTATTGATCGAGACCATTAGCACACAAATAGGTTGTTGGGGCAGGTGAGTCTGTATCCTCACAACGGCAGTTCTTTCGCCTCGCGAGGCCATGGATTACAGCGCACAGAGACACTTCTGGCACAAACTGAACATCGCCCATCCGTCAAGCAAAGGTTCAGTAGTAATTAAACACGGCTTGCCTCCACAGTGTGGCTCAGGGCAATCATCCTCAACTCCTGAATAAGAACATCGCTTTGAAACGCGGCCGTTCTTATCCATGGTTCTATCAAACCGAAGTGATTTTCAAAGCAATGGGGTTTGACATGGCAGCTTTAGAGATCACTTGTAGGCTATCATTTATTACAAGAAGATGTAGTGAGCCAAATCTCTTGGACACCCATGTCTTAATATTGTTCAATAGCAAACAATTTAGTGCTCAAGTCCTAATGCTCTTGTGAGCTGAGGATTATCATACTTAGGACCCAGTTAAGACCATGTTTAGACAGTTGAAGGGAGTTGGGTGTGTTGTCTTGGGAAATTGGGTTGTTGGAAGAACATGAATCCAGTGCAAGTGGGTCAAACCTGGCTTTTCATCCATTTCAGAAGACAGCCAGAGAGCTTTCTTGGCTTAATGTCTAGACAGGATTAGCCAGACAGGATTTTCTTGAGTAGACTTGTTACGGTACTAAGACAGGTTGTTCCTAAAACTAGAGTCTGCACTTTACACTCTATTCTCATACTTTGACATTGCTCATATGCTGGAAACCTCTCTGGTTTTTGGTACTAATTTTCAAACTTGGATTTAAAGTGTCCCACAAGCACATTAGTTTCAATTCACAGCTACCTAAGCAAGTTTTTAATTCTAAAAACAAACACTGGATGGGCTGACAATCTCACTGGCAATTGTTACTAGCTTTTAAGTGGCTTTTAAGAACCACAAGCACAAGTTTCTATCTTAGAAAGTTCTGCCGACCAAACTTTGAATGGGCTGATGGCCAAAGTTTATCCCAGGTTGACTTCCTAACCTTTGATTTATCCATGGAAAGTCCTTGTGGACAGTACCCGAGGCCATCCCCTACAATAGATACAAGTTACTTTGCACATGTTATCACAAAGGCACAGTTCCCATCTTCAAAGATCTATTGGTCAGGCATTCATCACTCTGGACTTAAATATGAGTCAGGGGAGCCGGCCATCAGGACGGAAGTCTGAATAAGTCATGAGGACTGAATAATTTACAAGGATCGACAGGTCCACCCAACAGCTCTCAGAGCCTTTGTTAAAGGTGTGATGCGCTGACAATCTGTCTTAAGGCCACACCAATTTAATTTCTTGGTTAACGGATTTTTCTAGAAAAATAATGGAGCGGGCGGGCGAAAAAAGTAAAAATAAAAGCAGGCCTAGGCATCCTATTATGGCCCAAAATGGTACGATAGGAGCCATGACGTCAACACACCAGGCTGGTTCAAAATTTAAACAATGAATTTTGAACTTTTAATGATAGCACTGCATTTAAAGATGGAATAACTGTAACAACTAGGACTGTTTTCAACTGTTCAGGGCAAAATATGAGCATTTTGCAGTTGATTCTGAATTTTTTATTTTTATTTGCAAATCAGAAAAGAAATTAAATTGGTGTGGCCTAAAGGCATCCAGCGCAATTTCGGGGTGGGGGGGGGGGCAAAACAAAAACATTCTGAATGAGGAAATCTGTCTGATATTGAGATTTACCGTAACAGTTATTTCTTAGCACATTCTTGGCACCATGTTATATGTGACGCGTTTGAAAAACAAAGCTACTTGAGTAGTCCCTTTATTTTTGGGTACTACCAATTA